CACACCCAGCTGATTTTTTTGATTTATTGTAGAGATGAGGTCTTGCTGCCCAGGCAGGTCTTGAACCTGCAGGCTCAGGCAATCCACTCACCTCAGCCTCCCAAAGGCGCAGGATTATAGGCTGAGCCACCGAGCCCAGCTAATAATCTTTTTAAAAAAAAAATTTTTTTATTTTTTTGAGTTGGAGTCTCACTCTGTCGCCCAGACTGGAGTGCAGTGGCCGCTCCCGGCCATCGCAGCCTCGACCTGCTGGGCTCCGGCGATCCTTCCGCCTCAGTCTTCCAAGTAACTGGAACTACAGGCACGCGCTACCACACCCGGCTAATTTTTTGATTTACTGTAGAGATGAGGTCTCACCAAGTTGCCCAGGCGGGTCTCAAACCTGCGTGCTCAGGTAATCCACTCACCTCAGTCTCCCAAGGCGCGGGATTACAGGCTGAGCCACCGAGCCAGGCTTAAAAATTTTTTATTTTAAGTATTTGGGTACAGTTCAGGATTAGGTATACAAATGTTCATTATGCAGGTACCTTTGTTGATGAGGGGTGCCCCTCCCCCCACTTCCCTGGCAGTTTCCCACTACTACCAATTCTGCCCCCACCCTCCTCTGGCAGTTTCCCACTATTGCCAATCCCTTTCTTATAGTATTATGATTAAAAACTAATATTCCTGCTGGGCTCAATGGCTCAGCCTGTAATCCCGCGCCTTTGGGAGACTGAGATGAGTGGATTGCCTGAGCCCGTGGGTTCGAGACCCGCCTGGGCAACTTGGTGAGACCTCATCTCTACAATAAATCAAAAAATTAGCCAGGTGTGGTAGCGCGCGCCTGTAGTTCCAACTACTTTGAAGGCTGAGGCGGAAGGATCCCCGGAGCCCAGCAGGTCGAGGCTGCGGTGACCGGGACCGACCACTGCACTCCAGTCTGAGCGATAGATTGAGACTCCAACTCAAAAAAAAACAAACAGAAAAAAACTAATATTCTTAAAGAACACATTTTGGGAGAAAATGCCAGAACATTATTCAATTATATTTTCTCTGGTTCAGCCAGGTACCCAAGTTCACATATGAATTTGATGAAAGGAGATTTTTCTATATATATAGTTATTATATGCTTTGGTGTATGATTGTTAACTGACAGTAATAATAGTCAGATTGAAGCCAGATAAACTCTCGTCAAATTTGTGCCTGTATGTTAAATAAACTTCTTCATATTCAACCCTGCTGTATAGCAGAAGAGGATGACCCAATAGCAAGATTTAATTCCTTTCCTCCTAAACCCATTTCTGAAGTTCCCTTCTCTGCTTTCCTAGATGTTTTTTACAATTTTGTCTGTAGAGTTTTGGCTTAGAATTTTTAAAATGCAAGAGATTATCACCTAATTTTTTAAAAAACTGAGTCAGGGTCTTACTCTGTTCAAGGTTTGTAGTTGCAAGGCTAGGCCTTGATCTGAAACTGGTTTCTTAATTTCCTTTTCAGTGCTGTCTTTCTGGTAATCATTTGCCAATGTCTTCTTTTATTAATAAAATATTAGTTATGTTGAACCTGTGAGCCATTCAAAGATTTCTTTTTTTTTTTTTTTGAGTTGGAGTCTTACTCTGTTACCCAGACTGGAGTGCAGTGGCCGCTCCCCGCCACCGCAGCCTCGACCTGCTGGGGTCCGGCAATCCTTCTGCCTCAGCCTTCCAAGTAGCTGGAACTACAGGCGAGCGCTACCACATCCCGCTAATTTTTTTTATTTATTGTAGAGAAGAGGTCTTGCCAAGTTGCCCAGGCGGGTCTTGAACCCGCGGGCTCAGGCAGTCCTCTCACCTCAGCCTCCCAAAGTGCGGGATTACAGGCTGAGCCACTGAGCCCGGCTCCAAAGATTTCTTTTTCCTTTTTTTTTGATTTGGAATCTCACTCTGTTGCCCAGACTGGAGTGCAGTGGCCATTCCCAGCCACCGCAGCCTCGGCCTGCTGGGCTCCGGCAATCCTTCCGCCTCAGCCTTCCAAGTAGCCGGAATTACAAGCATGCGCTACCATGCCTGGCTGATTTTTTGATTTATTGTAGAGTTGAGGTCTCGCTGCCCAGGCGGGTCTTGAACCCACGGGCTCAGGCAATCCACTCACCTCAGCCTCCCAAAGTCCAAAGATTTCTTAACTTTTACTGAAAGTTATGGAATTTTTTTTTTTTTTACTCTAAGTAAGAAATAAAATTGATTTTTTTCCTTAGAAAGTTTAATCTTTTTTTTTTTTAAACTGGGGTCTCACTCTGTTGCCCAGGTTATTGGGACTACAGGAACCCACCACCACATCTGGCTTATTCTTTTATTTTTTTGTAGAGATGAGGTCTCGCTATGTTACCTAGGCTTGCCTTAAACTCTGGGACTCAGCGATCCTCCTGCCTTGGCCTCCCAAAGTGCTAGGATTATAGGCATGAGCCACCATGCCCAACCTCAGGAAGCTTAACTATCTTAAATGTTAAATTTTTTTCCCTCTGTTAGCATATTAGGTGTCATCTGTAAATAGATGATAATATTGCAGTCCAAATCTACAGATAAAATAATCTTTTGGTCTATATTCCTCAGAGAGACGGCTGAAGTATATTTGTTTGAGAAAATACTTTTAAGTTGAGATGGTTAGGCTAATAGAAAGGTACAGGGCATTCAACATCTTAAAGTGATTTTCCAGACTTCACTTAAGAGCAGGTAAGCTGCTCTTGTTACCAGCTTGTTACCAATTAACACACAAAAGAAAAAAATGGCCTGATCACAGTTTGACACTTTGATGACTAATCATATTTTTTTTTGGTAGGTGGGGAAAAGTGGCAATGTACCAGCAGGCACTACAGTGGATAGTACCATCACACATCCGTCTGAGTTTGATTTTTACCTCTGTAGTCATGCAGGAATTCAGGTAATTTGGAAGCCGATCCAGATCTTTGACTTGATAGGGAGATATTTGCAAATTCGGCAACTAGCTTGAGTAGACTTGTTATGAAACACGTGCTTAACTTCCTTAATGCTTGTATGCTAAAACGGTTATCTTTTGGTCTAGGTATCTGCCTGTAGGTGCTAGGCAGAAGTACTTCTGAGTTTAAAGAGTAGTTTTCAATTCTTGTCTCCTCTCAGGTAGTCAATCCATGTCAGAAATATATTAACCATAAAATTCTCTCTCCAGGGAACCAGCCGTCCTTCACATTACCAGGTCTTGTGGGATGATAACTGCTTCACTGCAGATGAGCTCCAGCTACTGACTTACCAGCTGTGTCACACCTATGTGAGGTGCACACGCTCAGTCTCTATTCCAGCCCCTGCATATTATGCCCGACTTGTAGCATTTAGGGCAAGGTATCATCTGGTGGATAAAGATCATGACAGGCAAGTTTTCTAGGCACAATAAAATCTTTTTATATTTTAACAACACTTTAAAAAAAAAGAGCTACCACAGAGAACTTTTTTTTAAAGGACTTAAACTTCCTTTTAGAGTTTAAATTGCAAGGAGCAGATAAAATTCCATGTGCCTCTGAGAGCTTATAATGTGACTTTTGGTCCAACAAGTGCTCAGGCTTGTTTATACTTGCATTGTGTCTCTAAAGGAGTCTAATTTGGAGCTGCTTGTGGTTTTCACATGGAGCCAAATGCATTTCAGTCCTGCTCAGGTCCTGTGTGGCCTCAAAAAGTGGCCAGCACAGTCCCCTGGCTACAGTCAAAGCAGTCATAGGCCTGTGGATTTCATATGATGCAAGAAGAGTATCCTGGCCATTTCACTTTGCTTTCAGTACAGTCTTGAAAATATACCAGCGTAAACCTGGATGTGTGTATGAAAGAGATCCAGACCATTCTCACTCCCAAGTAGGGAACTCAAGAGAATTAGACATTTTGACCTGTTTCTGCGCTACTATTAAATAGCTAAACAAGCTTTCTGCATTAATTTTCTTTTCCAAATGACCATCTGTGAAGTGTAGCAGTTTCTGGGCTCTTCCCCAAGTCTGAATTCAGCTGCTAAATAGTAGACATTCCACTGCAAGTCTATTTCAGTAAGGGTTGAAAATATACTGTTATGGAAAATGGCCAGCTGTGGCTTTGTATATTCCATTTTGTAATGTACATTCATTTATTCAACATATTTATTAGATATTGACTGTGTGCCCAGTACTGTGCTAGGTGCTAGAAATACTAAGTGAGTAATATATGTTTCCTGTCCAGGGGTACTTTATATTTCTTTTTTTTTCTTTTTTTTTTTTGAGTTGGAGTCTCACTCTGTCACCCAGACTGTATTGCAGTGGCCGCTCCTGGCCACTGCAGCCTCAACCTGCTGGGCTCTGGCGATCCTTCCGCTTCAGCCTTCCAAGTAGCTGAACTACAGGCGCACGCTACCATGCCCTGCTAATTTTTTATTTATTGTAGAGATGAGGTCTTGCCAAGTTGCCAAGGCGGGTCTCGAACCCGCGGACTCAGGCAATCCACTCACCTCAGCCTCCCAAAGCGTGGGATTACAGGCTGAGCCACCAAGCCTGGCTTTTTTTTTTTTGAGTTGGAGTCTCACTCTGTTGCCCAGACTAGGGTGCAGTGGCCGCTCCTGGCCACTGCAGCCTCGACCTGCTGGGACCCGGCGATCCTTTCGCCTCAGCCTTCCAAGTAGCTGGAACTACAGGCATGTGCTACCACGCCTGGCTAATTTTTGATTTATTGTAGAGTTGAGGTCTTGCCAAGTTGCCCAGGCGGGTCTCGAACCCGTGGGCTCAGGCAGTCCTCTCACCTCAGCCTCCCAAAGCGCGGGATTACAGGCTGAGCCACTGAGCCCGGCGGACTTTATATTTCATTATGGGAGACCATATAGGCAAATATCTACAACTGACAACGAGTTAAATCAGTATAGTTAAATCAGTATAGTTAAAAGTGCAATGGAACACCAGAGGAAAGGCCATTAGAGATTTCATAGCTGGTTGGGTAGATGGGTAGAATTTGGTTCTACAAAGAAAAGAAGTTTTCAGGCAGTGGGAACAGTGAACACAAAGAAGAGAAAGCAAGTGATATGTTGTAAAATAGCAAGTTTTATTTTGCTGGAGCATATTAAAGAGGAACAGTAGGCATGAGGCTGGAAAAGTATGTTAGAGCAAGATTGTCTTTGTTAAATGTAAAGAGCTTTTCCTAGGATAGAATAACAGGACTTAACAATTAATTGGAGGTGAGTGACAGAGAAGAGCATGAAGTAAAAAATGGCTAAGATTTTGAGCCTCGATGATAAGGATAATAATAATTTAAAGAGAGAAGTCAAAAGAGGGACAGTGGTTTACAGTTTGCCAAGCCTTTTACGAGGGGGACCCAAAAAACCCCTGAAATTTATGTTTAAAAACTTGTGTATTTATTCTTACATGTTTAAACTTCAGTCACCTTCAAAGTACTCTCTGTTTGACGCAATACAAGATGCTTTTCCCACTGCTCAAAATAGTTTTTGAATTCGTCCATTTTGATGCCTTAGTGCTTCTGCCTTTTTTTGTTTTACCTTTTCCACACCAGCAAAATGTTTCCCTTTGAGGAATTTTTTCCATCTGGGGAAACAAAACAAAGTCACTCAGGGCGAGTTTGGGTGAACAGGGAGGGTGGGGCATGGGGTCATGCCATTTTTTTGGTCAAAAGCTGCTGAACACTCAACGCAGTGTGGGCAGGTGTGCTCATAAATCACTCATCATGAAATGGGCAAATACATTGAAAGAATCTTCAAAAAAATTCACTGAAACCAAATGCAACCTCTCACAACAACACTAGCTGGTACATTAATGCCGATGGGTTCCTGGAACACTTACCTAGTTGGTGAAGCCTGTGCTACAAGGTGCCCGCCCTCCAAAAAATAATGCCAAGGGTTTTTGGTTTTTTGGGGGTTCCCCCTCATATATTACATGGTATCCTTAGGAGGTATGTTTAGAAGTTGTTGTTGTTACCCCAAAAGGCCAAAGTTCAGAGGAATTGTTAGTGAATGTAGCTAGTGAAGGGAAAATAAGAAGAGATTGGCACAGTAACATGTGCTGAGAATTTGCTGTTACAGCACTATGTTAGGTACGTAGATGCATTCATTCAATAAATGGTTATTGAGACTATTGTATTATGTGCTAGGTACTAGGAATATAGTGGTGAGAAGATAAATGAAGTTGCTGCTTTCTTCAAGTTTATATCCCAGTGGGGAAATAAGTAATTACTCACTAATTTACTGTTTAGTACCACGAAAGAAAAGTATAGAATTCTGTAAAAGCATGTTCCAGGTGGAATTTGGAGTCAAGGAAGATTTCTATGGGGAAAATGACATTTGACTGAAGTCTAAAGATGAGTAGAAATTAACCAGACATAATGGACAGGGAAAGTTCTTATGTAAGTACTATTAAGGATTTGGATCTTGCAGGCATTGTTTTATTTAATTCTTGTAACAGCCCATTAAATAAATTCTATTGCATTTTTTCAGTTGAGTAAACTGATGTTTAGAGAAGTATTACAAATTACTTAAGAAGCTAAAGCTTGAGCCTAACATCTTCTTAGATCCAGTACTGTTTGTGCTGTTTAAAACATGTGAAGTTTGATACATCTGTTTTTTGCTTTGTTTTCTTTACAGTGCGGAAGGCAGTCATGTGTCAGGACAGAGCAACGGCCGGGATCCTCAGGCCTTGGCTAAGGCTGTGCAGATCCACCATGATACCCAGCACACTATGTATTTTGCCTGAGAGTCTCAAAAAAAGAACTCAACCATTTGGCACCCCATGCAGCCTCAAAATGTCTCAAATACCTACCGCCTCTAGATAGAGCCAAGTTGACTTCAGGTGGTCTTCTACCAGCAGCTCGGAATAGTTGCACTGAATCTATACTTTGCAGCACTGTCTGATGCATCAACAAAATTGAGCCATTTTTTTTTAAGTAATAGATACTCGTAGATTATCTTTTCTGATGCACTGGACTGAATTTTTACCTCAATGTGCAAAGGCTATCAGCCTGAACTTTCTAACGGACTTCACAAGAAAGGTTTCTATGGAATATTTTGCTAGCTGTGGTGTTCACCGCATCCCTCTAGTCTTATAAGAGAAGAGTATTCCTTTTTTCTGTATCCATTGAGTGGGGTGTATGCATAAGTGGGAGAGAAAAACCAAACAATCTACTTCAGTTCAGTGTAACTATTTAATTGTGTGGGTCCATAGACTTTTTAATGAAGATTTCTGACTTCGCCACTGTAAATGCCTTTAATGAGCATTAATTTTTGAAAGTTTTACAGAGTTTTATTAGTTTTACTACTTTATCTTACTGATCTCTGCAGGCTGTGCTGGTGCAAGTACAGGCTGCCAGGCAATTGCACTATATTTGGCTGCAGATTCAAATAGGCAGTTCTCTTATTTGGTTGACTTTTGTGAATGTGTGACATAAACAGATGTAATGCATGTCACAGTGACAGATAACACTGCCATGGTAAACGTACTCATGTTTCCCCCATTTGGAAAAAAAAATAGTAGCTTTTAGTATTTTTCCAAGTTTTCAAAAGTGCCCATTTTATGCTGCTGTGTGGTTTGTTAGATCTAAATGATTTTTAAACTTTTCTCATAGAAAGTTAACTTTGGCAATAAACATTTTTTAAGGTCCCTCCTCTTCCTTCCCCAACAATGTAGTTTTTTAGATGAGATTTCAATATGGTTTTCTCAACTGTTTCTTATATATCATAATCTGGCAATTTCTGAAACTGGTCAGAAAAGACATATATGTCCATGACTTTTTAAATAATTATTTTACCTATTTTATAGTCACTATTGGTGTCCTGTCACTTTGTTTTAAAATAAGCTAGAACCAGGATGCTTCCTTACTGGAAAGGCTTTGCCAGTCCTTAAGGTACATTGAGTGATGCTGCAACTTGCAAAGATGTACCAGCATTAAAAGATTTTTTTTCCCTTGGAATCAAGGTTACTCACACAATTACTTGCAGTGCAAATGTTTTGCTTCTCTTTCAACCTGAAATACTTGGTGGGTTTTCCTTCTTTTTATTAACTAAAACTGTGTAGAAGAAATTGCTTTTTCTTAATAGATTCTGGATTCCGCTCACAGGGAGATGAGATTCCTTTCTTGTCTAAACAAAAGGAAGTTGATCTAAAGCAAGCATCAGTTAAAATGTAGGGAAAAACATATTCTGTATGTAGTGTAGATAATACTTTGTGAATGGACAACAGTTACATAGAGTCTTGGTAGTTCCAGCCAGTGTTTCCCAGCCCAGATTTTACTGACTTGTAATTCTCCACCCTGGACATCAGGAGTGAGAGATGGAAAAGGAGATAAAAGGCCTGGAGCCATACTCCATATGGCTGAGGAAAGTGCTGGGGACAGAGACAGACACAATGTGTTAGAAACTATTTTGCCGCCTCTGTCTGGAAACTGCTGGTGGGAAAATGATGGCGAAGGGTGTTTGCTTGAACTCATTAGCTGGTCCAAATCTCATAAACTAGCCTTCTCAAAATCCCAGCAATATAAAGCACTGTTTTTCTTCAGTCGTTTAAACAAACTTGTAAATACATTGAAGTTTACATTTCCATGTGCTGTTGATCAGCGGCGCCACCAATGTTTGCTGAGACTGGTCTCCGAGAGAGTTTTATAATGTCTATTGAGTGCTATAGCTCATTAAGATGAGTGCAGACATCCTCCATCTCTGCAGATAGTGCGATGAAAACAAGTTCTGTGACTGAAGCACAACATAGGCAGGAGTGAAGAGATGGCAGATGTTCATTTCTTAAGATTTTCCTTTTTTGCAAATACCTCACTTGGATAATACAAATCAGGACATGTTGGTGAGGGGCTGGCTGCTGCTTTTATTCACACTTGTTCAGGGAGAGCACAGAAAATACCCTTCAGCATGGCCACTCTGGACCCAAGAAGAGGAAAACTGGAAGCTTTTTTTAGGAGAAGGAGGACTCGCTGGAGTCTAAGATATGAAGAACTCTTGGTGGCTGGCTGGCTGGCCAGCGGGCACCACACCTGCACTTGAGTGCCTCAGGCTTGCTCATTAATAACGCACAGAAGAAGCATCACTTCTCACCATCTCCTGGCATGTATGGAGCAGGGAACAAGGCGGAGTACCAGGAAGCCCTGATTCGCTTGCCTGTAGTTGGGCTTTATGCTCAACCTTGAACTATACAGTTTGTGAGACCTCAGTCAGTCCTAGTACACTGGGGCAAATCAGTGTGGTGGTGGAGGAAAAGCCGGGAGGCCTATTTTTATAGGAAAACAGTACCATTAAAGGTGCAATGCTGTTGTTTTGAATGAAAGGAAAGAAACATGGAAGAACTAGGAGTATTGGGAAAAACTTGCTGAGGGGTGAATCTTTAAGAGATAACCACTGCAGAATCAGAGTTGCAGCAACATTATTGCAAGCAAGTCTGAATGCATAGTTTTACTTTAATTCGGTTTGACAATTTGAATAGGTAACCCCTTTGGGACTGACTGAATCATTATGCATGTGTCAATCAATGGGAGGTGTGCATTCTCTAGAAGTAGTTTTAGGCTTTTTTATTTTTATTTTTTAAATGCAGCCTGTTTAGGCACTGTCATGTGGTGTGAAAGATTTAAATGTAGCAATGCTAAAGAGTAACAATTTGGGGATAAGGAGCAGGGGACATTAAGGGAGTGGTGAAGACCCAAATGTTGAACCAATTATGTTTTGTTGTTATTGTTGTTAGCTGTTAAATACTTAATGGTTTATAAAGTGAACTAGCTGGCTTAATGCAGCCAACGTTCTGGGCAGGCAGAACATATTCATTCTTACTGTAAATTCTACTTGCTGCTTCCAAAGGTAATGATTTTCAAGCAGACATACTCTGTATGGTCTGTATTTTAGGATCTGGTGCCCGACCTATGTCAGAGCTTACCTACCTGGCTTAGCTGTCTACCCTTCATGTGGTAAAATGTAATTCACTGTTTAACAAGGTTCACCCTCTCTACCTTGCTCTAGCAACTTTTTGTGGATGTGCTGTAAGATTTTCTTGCTCAATAGCAAGGTGATATCTCTGCTTTCATTTTCAGAAAGTGGAGGCTGAAGGCATTGTGTCAGTACTGCTTCAACTCCAAGAATTTTTCCTTATAAAGTTAAAGGAAAGGTCTTGTTATTGATTAACCATTTTCTTATGCCTTGCTATTGACATATTCATGCTCTTTCTATGTTTGGTGGCTGAAAATGTTTGCATTTGTTCATTTGACTAATGATGTGTTTTTTGTTTCTATATTATTAAACTTGTAATGTTTTAAGATGTATTTTATTAAATTTGGACTGGATGTACGTCTCTAGCAATACGAGGTACTTTCTAAACTATTAAGGGAGGGGTTGTATCCCCATGTTGATATAAGATGATGGTTGTTTAAATTTTGCAACTTTTTTGGGGGCAGGGATATTTTGTGTTCATGTGTCCAAAAAAGGAATAAATTGGCATTCTTGTGCCAAAAGTTGTTTTTCTTGTTAATTGTCTAATAAATATGGTGTACACTGTAATGACAACACACATGTCCTTAATTGACAAAGAAGAACAGTGGGAAACCTGTGTTTTTAGATCCCAGGTCTCCCTATTTTTCGAAGTTGTTATTTGGTATACAATTATTATGTGTCAATTAAAACTAAAAACTTTTTTTTTTGAGTCGGAGTCTCACTCTGTCACCGAGGTTGGAGTGCAGTGGCATGCTCATGGCCACCACAGCCTCAACCTGCTGGGCTCAGGTGATCCTTCCATCTCAACCTTCCAAGTAGCTGGAACTACAGGTGCACGCCACCACGCCCAGCTAATTTTTGATTTATTGTAGAGACGAGGTCTCTCCAAGTTGCCCAGGCTGGTCTTGAACGTGGGCCCAAACAATCCACTCACCTCGACCTCCCAAAATGCTGGGATTACTGACTGAGCCACCGAACCTGGCAAGTGCTGGGATTATAGGCATGAACCACCACACCTGATCTAACTAAAAACTCTTAATGGAAAGATCTGTTTAGGTAGTGTCTTGAGAAAAATCTGCAGTCTCCAGAGGGCAGTGTGGCCACATACTTTAGAAAACAAACTTTAGAGGAGATGTTGCTCATATTCATCCAACTTGGGGCAATCTAGTCTCATGTAGTTTTCAAAAATTCTCACCAGCAAAGCCTGGGCAACTTGGTGAGACCTCATCTCTACAATAAATAAAAAAATTAGCCAGGCATGGTGGCGTATACCTGTAGTTCCAGCTACTTGAAAGTCTGAGGTGGAAGGATCACCTGAGCCCAGCCAGTTGAGGCTGCAGTGGCCAGGAGCATGCCACTGCTCTCCAGCCTGGGTGACAGAGTGAGACTCAAACTAAAAAAAAGAAAAAGAAAAGAAAAAAAAAACTTAATTCTTCAAAGAATTAATTCTAATTTGGCCCATGGTGGAGGAGAAGGCAGTGAGATCTACACTATCTGAGTGCCCACTACATATCAGTCACTTTATACTGAAATTTTAAATCCCAGCTATAATCCTTTGAGGTTGATAATGGTATTCCCATTTTAAAGTTGAGGAGTCAATGTCAAAGAGGCTAAATATTTAGCACACAGTTACTAAATGACAAAGCTAAATTTGAATTCAGAACTCTCTAACTTTATTATACCTGCTGCTGAACATAAAATAACAGAATACTGTGAGGAGCTTAGAAGGGGAGAAACAACAAATTTTGTCATGGAGAGTTAGGAAAGACTTTACAGTGATGGTGGATTTGGGGATAGATCATGAAATATGAGTGGGAATTTGTCAAATGGACAAGGGGGTGAGGAGGGGATTCTATTAACAGTCATACTGCTTACAGTAGATAATGGTAGCCACAATTTTTATCTAGTCAAATGCTTTTGGGGGAATAGGGGAGATAATTCATGCATTAGAAATAATGAAGAGTTATTAAATTCTGATTTAAAAGGACCCCAAATGCAATGGCAATTTATTTTACATATTACCTTTCAATAATACACATTTTATATAGTTGTAATGCTAATACATTTAGAATTGTATATTATATTCTTTTCATTAATTATCTTTTTTCAAGACTGAAATCACTGTGACTATAATTTACTTGGCAAGCATTTATGGAATATCTACGGCCTGCCTGACATTGTGTTAGACATTGGAGCTACAAAAATAAATAAAGTATGTTTTTTTTCATGCTCTTGGGACTTTTACATGTTGAACTTGGGAGGAGGAGAGTGAGGAAGAATAAGGTTATGTTAACAAAGGAGACCAGCAAAGTGTTACATGTGCACCACAGGAAGTGCAGGAAGGGACACATGGGAGAGAATGTCAGGAAGTTGTCATGAAAGCAGGAAGCCTTGAGCTGAGTTTTGAAATACAAGCAGGTTTCACTAGTCAGATGGAGGAGATGTTGAGGTTTTAGGGGGTTAATAAATCATATCCTCTTCCCTGTACCAACCAACGGAAAAATAGATATTAAAGAGTTGAACAAGGAGCAAAATGTTGACTTTATTGCTGGTAAGACTTAGATAACAGAATGTGCTCAGAAGTGAGGGCAAGTGAGAATACTAATACTCCTCTTTATTTAACATGCTTTGCCTACCCAGTTACAATAAGTGCAGGACAGCCTTGGTTTTCCACACAGGGAAAGAACCTACTTCTCTAAGCTTACTGATTAAACACTTAAGGAAAAAATTTTTAAAAAAATTTAAAACTGAGCCCACGGGTTCGAGACCCACCTGGGCAACTTGGTGAGACCTCATCTCTACAATAAATCAAAAAATTAGC